GGGAACTTTGCCAAAAAAACAAGGGGAGGCAGTACGTTTATAATCAATTCATATCCGAAAAAAAGCACGTGGTTTAAGAGAAAGATGGATATTGATAAAAGGTTTGTTGCAACTGTATTTAGACTGAGATTCAACCACACATTCTCCTGAGATCAACTCCATCGATTTCATATTAAGAACTTATAGACAATAAAAAAATACAAGCGTGAAACTATTGACCATATTTTTATATTATATCATACAGAAGTCTGAGAATAAAGTAATTAACATTCATATTAAATACTTGCGTATTATTAGCATCAAATCACATTCATGTATTTAAAATTATCATTAATTTCAATAATTATTGTGAAATAAAAATTTAACATTAGTTTCAACTATATTATAAAGTTAGTCATAAAAATATGATTCTGTTACATTTGTAAATATAGTTATAGATTATAATGAATTAATATGATTGGCTAAATAACCTTAATGTTGAATCCATATACATAGATAAATAAATAAATAAAAAACTCAAAGGTGCATATTCGAAATCTCAAAAAATTCAAGATTTTATCAACACTGTCCATAAATTCAGTTTTGTGTGAATAAAAAACTTTTTTTATGAAAGTTACTAAAATAATTGATAATAAATTTCAGATTCAGACTAAAATAATAAAGAATGTGAGAAAGCCATATATAAAAAGCCATATATATTTTTTTGGGCATATGGCATTCTGTATAAATATATAATTCTATTTGTGTTTTTTCTTATAATTTCTTTCAAAAATTATATAAAAATAAATTAATATGAAATTTTATGGAAATTTCTTTATTTTATATATATTAAACAATAAATCAATCATTATCAGAATTAAATTATATAATAGATAACTTCTTATTTGTAGGTCAATTTGACCGCGCGGTAGGTATAGGTATAGGGAACTTGAATTTTTTTGCAAATAGTCCAAAAATATTTAATTTTTGGCACTTATATATTTCTCATTGTTTCATTTTTCTGTATACAAAATGTTTTTTTTAATAAATTATCAGACATATAATATTCATGCTTAAATTCTTATTTATAGTATATTCTTTTTTGATGTATATGTTCACATATACCTATAGCATGCAATTAATATAACTTGGATTAATCAATATTTTACTGCATTCTATAATTTTGACCTGTAATAATAAACAAATATTCTTTTAAATATTTTTTCATTAATGTAAATCAGTTAAACAATGTGTCCACATATTGTACAGCACATTTCCTATATTAATTTGATTAACACCTTGTCCTGACCTTAGAACATATATTTGTTAAATTGAAATATTATATATACAGTTTATTACCTTAAATTTCATATAAATAATTCATACCGCACCAAAATGTTTAAACAATTTAAACATTTAAACAATTATTCTCAAACAACATTTTTCAAATGCAAATTTCATTTGTTCAATTTTTTTTTTATGCATTACATAACTTTTTTTTTAATTTTTTGTCTGTTATTTGTAATGCAAAATTAGTTATTGTCACAATCAACCGCACTTTTGTATCTCTATAAATCAAAATTAATTTCTTGAACATACATTTTGTACAGATTTATATTGTTCTTATAAAATTGAAAAATGATCTTCAATCATAGATAAGAGTTTAATTTCATACACTATACTATTAATATTTAATTAAAATGAACTTTAATAATCTTACAAATATTTTTCACTTACTACACTTTACACTAATAACACTAAAACAGCATACTGTATATCAATTCGCAATATTTATTTATTAATTCAATAGATATTATATAATATTCAACTGTTACCAACAGTCTTCATAGTCCATAGAAACGAAAATAAAATCGGTTCCGTAGTTCAGGTGTCTATCGCAGACAAACAACATGACTAACTTTATACATATAAGATGTATATCAAAAATTTCACAGGGTCATAAATTGTAAGCAGCTCTCGATCATATATTAACATAGCTAGATTGATGTAACTGTTGGACAGTTTTAGGCTTTGCATAAATTTATATTGCCTGTACTTGAATTTTGGTTTTCCAAAAATACACTTCAATAGATTGGCTACAACAACGTATTGTTGCAGTTTCTTAAATAGAATTTTCAGTTGTTGCATGTTCTGTTTCTGTGATTCGGATGCTGCCCATATGTCATGAATGTAAGCATAGCAGAAGTATCAAGATTGGATATTATATTAGATAAAATTTGATACTGCATTCTTTTGCAACTGACATTCTTTACCGCAAATGCATTCTCCAACAAGGCAAACCATAGCTCGTATGGTTCGGGTATGAAGGATGAAATACATAACTGGGAGCATGTTGCTTCATTTTGTTTACATTCCTGCTTTGATTTTGAGCGCGGCATTGTTCAATTTAATGTCGTAGTCACCACTTTTTAATCCTCGATCCATAGCCTATTATTTATATATCGTCCACATATTTTCTCAAAGATTGTTGAAGTGTGATGGTCAATGTGCTCTTGATGGATGCTTGATGGTTCATGATCTAGAAATTATCTCAAAATTACGTGAAGTATGGCTTTTCAAAAATACTATTTTGAGTTAAAGAGCAAAAAATGTAACCGGCCTTCGCCTTAAATCGAACGACGCTGCTAACACGAGGAATGGCCACATTTCCATTTTTTTTTTTTTTTTTTTTATTACAATATCTGTTACAACTGCTAATATGACATCTAGTAACATAAATATAAATAAAATAGTGTACAAAATAAAGAATAGTATTTTCATTAGAATTATATCCGTATTATGATGATTATGATGATTTTATGACTCTTTGGACTCCGCGCGGTCGACGCATGTGACGCGCCAGCACCTCCGTGAGTATATTAGCGGAATATCTGTCATGTTTGTTGTATAATGAAAAAAAGAAAGAAAAAAGAATTAAAATATTTATTTTTTGACTGTATAATTTTAATGCGTTTTAATGTTAATTTCAAACATCAACAATTAGTGATTCGTTATTAACTTTATTCGTTATTATATTTGTTAACGTAATGATGTCATCAGAGCGTGTCGGATTGGATCCGACAACGGAGTTGTTACATGCGTTTTACAATTTGGCCTGGTATAAATTAATTTTGTAAACAATTGTTCATCATTAAAATTGCAACTGCGTGGAGAAGGCTGGAATGTGTTCCAAAAATTCTTCCAATTTTTCTTCTGAACTTCTTGTCGAAGAACCATAAACCACTATTGATCTTTTTAATCTCTTCGTTGCCTTCCAAAGAGAATAATTACTAGATGTCTTTATTAAGTGTATTTACTAATAATTACTAAGTGTCTTACTAGATGAAAGATTAGTTAAATAATGTTTGAGGCATTCGTTCTCATATTCATATAATAGAGTCATAAGATTTCTGCAGACACTGTTGAATTTATTTTTATTGGTAGGTGATCTTGTGATTTGCCATATTTTTCGTAATTTGCGTTTTTGAGCTATTAATTTGTTAATGTTAATAGGATAATTAGGTTTGTAACTTGCATTTGAAAATATAATGGATTTTCACTTTTTAGTGAGTTTTTTTTCGTTGTGAGACTTTATGACTCTTTAGCTCTGTTACGTATTTGTTTTATAAAGAATATTTTTACTTTTTGGTTAGATTCAACAGCTTTTTTAGTATAACTTATTTAAAAGCTTACATGTGGTTGTGCTAAACAGGGACAAAATAAATACCGGCACTAATGTAAAAAAAAAAGATAATATAAATCAAAATAATTAATATAAAATATACTAAAAAAGCAATTTAATTGATTAAATTGATAGTTAATAGACTTGTGATAAATAATTCTTCTTAACAAGCTTCAGACACAGGTTGTACACAGTTTAATCTTTGATGATGAGCCCACGAAACATGTATTTCAAACAGAGGTTTAGTTTATCTTATTTGCTATAATTGTATTTCAACCAACTTTAAGTCTAATTATGATTAGTAAAGAAAAAATATATAAAAAACAAGGATTTTTGATAGTAGTAAGAGTTGATAAACATTTTGTTTAATAGACATCCCCATTCAAGTCTAATTATGACCACATTTCAAGAGCAAGATCTTATTTGGTAAAACCGATAAAATAAGAAAAAGAAATTAGCTCTGGCTTCCCTTTTTACCCGCCTATGAATTTTTTTTAAAAAACAGCAAAATATGTATTTCTAGAATTGTTGTAGAAACAGCAAAATATGTATTGTTCGTTTTATATGTGCTGTGTTATGAAGTGGCTGATTTGGTTGTCACATTTGAATTACAAAAAGTCAAAGTGGACCTTTGAGCCATATTCTACCCTGCCAATAAATGCTTCTGATTCAGTTATATAATTTAATTGCCCATATTTTTAATAAGCTTGGCTAATGCAATCAATTAAAATACCTTGCAATGGTATCAGTGGTTACTACATTAAAACTATCAATGACTTTGACAATGACAAGTAACTGTTATTGTTCGAGAGATCAGTTACATTTGAATAGAGTTGAGTGCGAATTTGAATTGAATTGATACTTTTTTTTAACACAGTTTGTATGATTAACATAACTCTTATAAAAACAACTTTGAATTGTGGTCGTGTGTACAGTACAACATCTGTCGGGTCAGATATATATTCAGATTTTCAAAATTCTGTATAGTAATTCTGTAAAAAAAAACTGTAGAATAAAAAACCCTCAAAATACCATAGGCATGAATTTAAAAAAATATCTATTGTAATTGCAATTCTTGTAAGAAAAACTGAACAAAAAGCACTCTCAAAACACTAAAAATACAATTATACTAAATTCTTATAGTAAATTCATGAAATATCCTAATTAGTTTCGTAAAAACAAATTGTCATATGAAAGTTGCTGCTATATGAAGTGTTAAATAAATAAAAAATAGAAAATTATCAAGAAACAGTGAAAGATTTTTTGAGATACGTAAAAAATCATGATATGATTGCATATTGAACATGAGTGAATAAAATAATTCTTATACAGTTCTGACCTCTGTTTTAGTGCTGACTTGAAATATTGTTTGTGCCTTATGAGAAAGCTGAGCCCAGCAAGAACTTAGAGTTCCAAGCCTCTGTTTAAATGAAAGTGCTAATTCGGGCTCCTCAGCTTCTATGTCTCCTAAAAATATCATTATGATATTAAATAAAGTTGATTGTAAATATATGCTGAATTCCAGAGTCATGATTCGTATAATAAAATGTTGTGAAAAGTGCATTTCATTAAATGTAAAAAAAACAATTTGATAGCAAAATTAGCAAGAACTACATTAAAAAATAATTGGAAATGGTTTAAACAATTAAAGATGTCTGTTCTCATAGATGTTCCTATATCTCCATCTTTAACTCCATATGTGTCAAAGACTCTGATAACTTTTATTACTACCATAAGTTATATATATAAATATCTAAAATACACCATCCAAAAGTGACAATATAATAATTAAGCTCTTAATTTAACTAATTTGATAAAAATATAATTTATATTACATCTTTTAAACGAATACCTAAAATAGAAGGTTAACATAATTATTCAAACTTATTTGTGCCACTAATAATGATTATATTATATTCGAACGAAGAAACGCAAAAAAACATATTTTATATTTCTTGGTAGATGTCATTCTATCAAATCTATCGTGGTATTAAACAAAACGACGATAGAATCAAATAGCAGCGGTACCACAAGTAGTATAGAATCGTAGAACAATTCAATATTCAAATTCATTACCTAATGAAACATTTATGTCAACAATGTTTTTATCAAATTCTTTTTCTAATATATCTAACCACCGAAATGCCAAACCCACGCCGGACATTTTTACTTTATACCCCATACCCCCATTGACATATAGTGTTGGCAACTGTCAAAATCAACAGATAAATTGCGCCAAGTTTGAATAATTAATTTTTACTCGAATATGGCAATAATAATCTTATTATTAATTATGCTTATTTATCTATGATAATAATACATATATTGTTGAATAACAATATCGAATTGATTATGCGATCTATCAGAAATCGCTTAAAATATGATAACTAAGTTTCAGTGAAATCATTAAACATTAATTGAAAGTCTTATACTTGTTTATCTATGGTCTACACTACGATGAATGATTAATAAATAATAGAAAATGTATGCATTGCAAACTGCAATATTAAACTAATTAATTATCCATCGCAAAATCAATGTCTCAAACACGTGATAAATATATAGTAATATAGATTTTTTTAAAAAAATTTTGCAAATTAAAATAAATATAAAATAGATTAAATGTAAAAAGTTAAACTCGAATTATATTTAGAATAGGTTTTTCTTTGCAATCTTGTTTCAAGAATGTAGTGATTCTGATTCCAATTTATAGTAAATGTAATTCAAAACATTTTTTTGGCTCAAATGTGTTTTTATTTATTGACTAAGTATTGTTTTAGCAAACCATAATTTACTTATGCTTCACTCTTGCACACCATTGCATACAACATGGGGAGTTATCTCCGATCAAATGCATATTACCCTGTTTTTGGAAAGGACTACTATTTTTAGCAAAAAAAAGATGTCGCTACTAGTTTCAAAGCGTCAAAATTACTCGCTAAGATTTGGCATTCGCCATTTTGTATCTTCTATCAAAGTTTGTGGTTCGATGTTGTTTCTGTAATTAATTGTATTCAAGTAAGCATTTATGTGAAATTTAATATGGCAAAATGTAACGCAAAAACTTGTGGTAACTTCAAAAATAATATAAAACTTTTTTACGCCTTTATGAAGTGAACAAATTAGAAATGTACAATTATATTTCACAGAATAGTTCTCATGTCTATAGTTCACAGTGATATAAGAAGAGAAAGACAATCTGATATATGACCAGGAGAATACTCCGGAACTCCAGTGGAAAAAGTAATAATAATTCTGAATAATTTAATACCATTTGCTATTACGCCTTGATATTATATTACAACATGTTATGTTTATTAGATGTTCTCGGGAATTGCAGCAGAATCTAGTGGCTGAGGATAGGAGTATCTTGATGCCGAGGGCATGTAAAATGTATGACACATCCATTATATGTTGAGAAAGTTAAGAAGGATAGACAAACAATGCAATAATCTGAGGTATAAATTGCAACAGAGTATAAAATGCTCAGAAATATTCCTAACATTCCATCCAAAAGGACTGCTGCACTGTTCTATTGACACAATCGAATCATAAGAAATTCAAGATTTTGTAGAATGCAACTTTATTAATGATTGATTGGAAAGCAAAATAACTATCAAATGCAAAGTTAATGTTAAAGAAGTATAACTCACAAATGAATTTCAATTCTTGGAATTTAGTTTTCTATCAATTTTGATATCAATATATATATTTTATGTCTGTAGGATTTAACTTTTTAAATTTGTTCATTATTTGTCATTTCTTCTAATTATACTATTCCATTATCTTTAGTATATACTCTATATACTACATACTTAGACTCTATACTTTTTTCTTCTCTTTTTAATATATTAATATTAGTCATTAAGAAATTAATATTAGTCAGTTCGTGTAAATTCATTATACTTATGAAAACTTTTACAATATTTCTGTGTAGTTGTTATATATTATTGATCATTAAGTAATTCATATTGATCGTTACTTTTAAGTTTAACATTTTATTGTAAATGCTTCTACACAATCTCTGTGTATCATTAAGTAATTCATATTGATCGTTATTTTTAAGTTTAACATTTTCTTGTAAATGCTTCTACACAATCTCTGTATAGTTATATATTATTGATCATTAAGTAATTCATATTGATCGTTTCTTGTAAATTTATCATACCATTGTGAATACTTTTTTTAGTTACTTATAATTGTAAAATTATAATACTTATTATTATGTATATATTGATTATTACATTTATAAAAATTTTAATTGTTATGTAAAAATGTTTGTGATATATTTGAAAATATATTTTGTACTACGTATGTTTTTTTTCTCATTTCCCATATAAGAAATTATTTAGGTTTTCTTATTTTGAATTACGTATGCAAACCATATCTAGGAACATAGATAAACAAGTATAATAGATCGCTATGTCTGGCGGTTTGACGTTACCTCGATTGGAATACAAATTTTTAAAAATAGATGGCAGCACATGTATAATATTTAAATTACCCCTGGTTTTACTTCTTAATTAGTACGTATCGTATACAGCCCCAAAAACCTGAATAATTTTTAATATTGGAAATAAGAACAAATCATACGAAATACAAAATATATATTTTCAAAGATATTACATATGTTGAAAGAACAATTAAAATTATGTTTATATTAACAATTATAATTACAGTTATAGAATGTTTGAAAATATAATAATTATTATACATAATTATAAAAGTATTATAATTTCACAATTATGCTTAAATAAAATATTTCAAAAACTAAATATCTAAGTGAAGAAAATCACAGAAGTATTTAACTAAACTAAGCACAAATAACTGACTAATATTAATTACTTAATGACTAATATTAATATATTAAAATCTTAAAAACTAAGAAGAAACTACAAGCACAGGAGCACGCAATGAAATTACAAATTTAGAAGGAATGACAAATAATACAAAAATTTAAAGGGTTAAGAAAAAAACAAATAATTTGTTAAAAAATACAAATACTTCACAAACAAAAAAGTCCTAAAAACATAAAATATATATATTGATATCAAAATTGAGAGAAATTCAAATTCCTAGGATTAAAACTCATTTACGAGACATTGTTCTTTATTAATTCTGCATGTAATAGTTATTTCGCTATCTAATGAATTAATAGTAAAGTTGCATTTAACAAAACCTTTGAATAGTTACTGTACGAGTGTTTTATAACATTACATTTAGCCATGTTCCATCATGAAAACATTATCATTGAAATTGCCATAAAAGATCAACAAAGTGTTTACAATGAACAGAATAATGTTTTATGCACATACAATTGTTTATGAATCAAAAGATAAAAGCAATATTTTTGATTCCCAAGGTCGGTAACAAATATATCTTGAATTTAAACATTATATTGGGATGTTACACAAGTTTTATTTGAAGAATATTATAACACTAATCTTCAATCAAAATACATTAAAATATTATGTATGGTATAGACTCTCTTTATAAGTGTTTACATTTGCTAATGTAATAGATAATCTTATTAAATATAACAATGAACTTACGTTGATGAACATTTAAACCAATACTAGTTTACTTTATAGGTGTTTACATTTGCTAATGTAATAGATAATCTTATTAAATATAACAATGAACTTACGTTGATGAACATTTAAACCAATACTAGTTTACTTTATAAGTGTTTACATTTGCTAATGTAATAGATAATCTTATTAAATATAACAATAAACTTACGTTGATGAACATTTAAACCATACTAGCTGAATAACTGTTTTGCAACTTCAACAATATGAGATTCAATCCAATCATATAACAATTCCGAAGATAATGGTATTTCATCAAACATCAAAACACAGTATCTGCTACTAATACTTTTTAAAAGAAATAGCTGAACCTAATGTTTTAAATAGACACTCATAAATACCGCTATACACTTGTATCTCTGAATGCAACTTTCTCAATGTTTGAGGACATGGCAAAATAAATATTTGTCTCCAAAAATAGTAGACCTTTGGAGACTTTTTGTACGACTTATTCCTTAAATTATTGCATTGTTTATGAATCCTTCTTGTCATTACATATTGCATTCCTTGGTTGTCAAAAGTACTCCTGCGCTTTGTTCGTGCATTTTGCAGCAATTTGCAGGTACCCCCAAGACACCTATTCAATATAATAACATGTTGACATATCTTGATTATATATAATTATTGCTGCAATTATTATTAAAAAATACCTTTGCGGAAACTTGTATTGGAATAGCTAAATATTTTAACCCGCACTTGACACTTTTTTGGGTACTATAAAAACACTTTGCCATATTAAATTTCACAAATGTTCACTTAAACAAAATTAATTAATTAGAAACCACACGAGTTCAAAAAGTTAGGTTATTCGTACAGCTATACAGCGATCAAATACTTGACAGCCACTTGCATGAACGACGAACAATTTGTAGTGGAAATTGAGTGCACATGAGCCATCTGTTTTTAAAAATTGAAACTACTCAGGACCAAAACAGTGCAACGCGCATTTGTTCGAAGATAACTCCCCATGTCTAGGAATAATACCAGCGGTTGATTTATATACTGAACAAGTGCTGCCTTCTTCAGATCGCTAAAAATATTAAAATGGCGATAATGTCAAATGGCCTCAGATAGCGATCTATTTATGTTTACTTATCTATGGCATACAATATACAATTAAGAATAGCACGTTGTTATGCGCCGACACCTTTATCTTTTTACCGTCGCATATATGGCTCTATGTGCATACTCATTACTTATCTATGGACTCTACATCCCTTGAGTTCCAATCTACCTTCTATGGACCCTATATTTCCGCCTAGACAAAGGACCCCTACAAGAAAACACAAGGACCACTCTCATTCCATCTGTACGTCAAGACACGCATAACCTTATAATAAAATTTAATGAAACTTTGTATAATTAAATTCTGTAATAAATTTATAAAACTTGTGGTGTGTTTTAAAATATCAAATTACCTTCATCGCTAAAGGCAAATATATAACATTGGTGGCAGCTTGTGAGATGAACTGAAAAATAGGCCTGAATGTAAGGTAATATTTTGTAAATTTTACAAAATTAAAAAAAAAAAAAAAAAAACACATCGACGTCACAAAATAAGCGAAGGAAGTAT